GACCTACAACGGCTACATCGCCGGCATATTCTCGGTTACTATCGCCATTCATTCGACTATCATGTAAGTCTCCGCAGTACAGTAGCGAGCGCTTATTTGCCTAATCCCACTGGCAGACTCACAGCCGATATCGATCGATATCCATTGTTTTCATTGTTCAGTGTGTATTTGTTTGCATTTGATCCGATTGTCGTTATACAAACAGAATATGAAAAATATATGTCCCCCCACTTCCCTGTTCATTCTCCATTCGCTATATTTCTGACGCTACTGTTTTTATGGCGGTTTTCACTGACAGAATTCTGTGTAGCTCCCGGGATTAATCGTATTTTGGGATGCGCCATGTCTTGCTTTTCTTCTCTGCTCTTCTCTTCTTCTTCGCTTCTTCTCTTGCTCTTCTTTTCTTTTCCACGATTTTCTTTGTGCAGAGATTCCTGGCCTTCGCCAAGGCCCAGGGCTGACATCAAATTTTCAGTCATAATGATAGTATGTATAGTTGACCCAATTCTAGAGGGTCATTCCTTTTCTTTCTGCCTTTTCGGACCCGATTGGTAGGTGTTCAGTCTGTATGCACTTACGTAATGCCTGAGTGACATATTGCCCCCCTTTTTGCTCCATGGCAAGTCGGAAATGGAAATTTTGTTAGTTATTTCCGTCATTTGCTCGGTTACAGCGTGGTTTTCTTGGCTATGTTGTTGTGCTCATGATTATTGATCGATGCTGGTGCCATCATTAACCGCAACGCAGACGTGTCGCGCGGACGTCTTACAAAGTTTGTACGTCAAAAGACGATGACCCTTTCATTGTTGGTCTGGCTGGCGATTTATTATATAACCGAGCTGCCATCTCGGACGGTGGAATTTCAGTTCTGATGTGTCACTTACCGATTTGCATAGCGATTTTTATGAAGTTTTCGGTCTTTGTCCAGAAAATGATAGCCACTGCTACGAAGGCAAATGTGGCGACGTTAATTTTGGGGCAGAGACGAGCCGTACGTGTCATTTTTGTAAACATTCCAGCACACAAAGACTCATAATTGTTATCAAAGGGGTAATATTGGTTTCGCAGAAGGTGATACGCCCTTTTTAGGAAAAAGCAAATTGCATGGGAACATTTGCTGCTGATGGGGCGGTTCCTCATGAGAAAGGGATAGAGAATTCAGTATTTGACTCGGACGCTGTTGATTGCTTTGTGTTCCCAATATAGGTCGCTTCTTATTCCTCCCAATTCTTCTCGGACAGCCGCTTTTATTCGATTAATAATCCGAGTACGACAATGAATGACACTGGACGGGAGATCCACGTAGTGAGCAAATAGTGATTGCAACAGCCCTGAAGCGACCATTGATTGTATCGTAAACAACATGTGGGAGTGGTTATGGAAGTGGAAATATGTTTTCGAAGCTGTGGGTAGAGCGACATTATTGCGGCTGTTTATACTCTGCAACTCTGAAGTTCATCGATTGGTACCGTAATCTTCATGAGGGAGTCATCCATCATTTTCTTTCACTACTACACGTTATGTATTTGTACGGCAATTACTCGAGTCTATTTTCTTATTTTCTGCTGAGACAATGCTTCTGCTATCTTGGGTGTGGGAAACTACCATGCGATAACCTTTGGACCCCAAGTGTGGAGACGGCGCCTTATGCGGCTGCTTAATTCAGCAGTACCTGACCTTCCCTCTTCGTGTACCCAGTCCGAAAAAGTGAATCATATGAACCCAGGGTGAATAAAACTAGTTAAGTGCACTTTTGGTAAAGTACTAAAAGTTCCTATCGTGGCTTTGGCCATCAAAATACAGGTTCTGGGAGGAAGTGCTACCATCAATCATGAATCATCAATTAGTGACGTAAAAACAGGTACCGTACCAGTTTAGGTATCGACGGGAACATTCCAGAACGTATAAAAGTTCATAGGTAGAGGAAACATATTACTGACCTTCCCGACCTAATTCAGCAATCCATCATCTCGCCAATCACGCGACCGGTCGCGCAGCGGCACGCCGTATTGCACGGAATATTCTAGAGTGCCTTTAAGAATACAAGAGAAATTCCGGCATTAAGGTGGCCAAAGTCTTTTCATTAGGGCATTTAACTTCTTTCTTGCATTAGTGACTGGCCATTCATCACCCTGCGTGAATTATTTTTGGCCCCCTTCATTGAAAGCAGTCCTTTCGAGGAAGCTATAGCAAGTCACTGAAAGTCTGCCTTGAATTTTGGGTACTTGACAACAAAAAATAATTGAGAGGGAGCAAAATTTTGGTAGAAATGAGCGCACGCGACACGCAACGCACGCGGCACAACCGCTCACGGACTTCCACTTTAGACCTATCTTCTACAAATATATACTAGCGTGAATCGAAAAAAGAGTAGCATTTTAATAAATAAAATCAGGGAAAATGTACTTGTAGGGACCACTCATTTTTGCACCATCGTCTGCGCTCTCTATGTGAGATAGTATTCCGCTCAGCAACTCCACTTCCATTTCAACTTTTCTCATCGGCTCAGCATTTCACATTGCTCCTTCCTTCCTAAGCCTGGGCCAAAAACTCTATTCCCCTGGCCCAAAATCCTTTCTAAGCCCTACTGCAGACCCACTAAGCGAGAAGATGNAACAAAAAATAATTGAGAGGGAGCAAAATTTTGGTAGAAATGAGCGCACGCGACACGCAACGCACGCGGCACAACCGCGTCAAGTCACGGACTTCCACTTTAGACCTATCTTCTACAAATATATAGTAGCGTGAATCGAAAAAAGATTAGCATTTAAATAAATAAAATCAGGGAAAATGTATTTACTTGTAAGGGCCACTCATTTTTGCGCCGTCGTCTGCGCTCTCTAAGTGATATAATATCCTACTGAGCGATTCCTCTTGAATTCCATTTTTCGCATAACATCAGCGCTTCATGTCGTTCTTCCCATCCTTAGGTCTGAGCCATACACTCTATGCCCATAGCCCAGATTCCTTTCTAGGCCCTCCTGCGGACCCGCAAAGCGGAGAGATGTCGCCCTTTCTTTCCCTGACTCTAACAATTAGTGTTAGAGACGCAGAACATCGTGTAATGGACCCATCCAACGACATTTTCACCGAAAATTCTTAGTGAAAATAGTCAACAAACAAAAATAAACAAATCGAAACAGCATAAAGTGTGCGAAAACTTTCAAAGTACTACCCACAAATGGTTTCATGTTATTACATTGGAATCACGCGTAACAAAAATTACAGTTTCTTCAAAAAGTAAATAAAAATAAATAGAAAGTCTGTCCTTCATTGTTTATATTCATATTCAAAAGGGTGGGAAATCGATAGGGTCGTGGCTCCGACGGCCATTAACTACTATGGCGTATGGGACATCGGCAAGCATTCATAGCATTATCTCTTGTGGTCTTTGTCCCCCTTTTATTGATTTTACCCCATGCAGAATCACTTCCAGATGCCCTAATTCCTCGCTATTTCCAGGTGTCTGTGGAAACAATGGCCATTACGGCCCTCCCGATAGACGTTTGGCTGAAGGAACGGCTAAAAAAATGGGTACAGCTGTCTGGACATGAAGGTAATCGACTTTGCCCCTTATTTACTTACTTTTACTTTTCCGTTTTTGACCAGAATTTATTCAGTCATTTTTGGCACGTATTCTTAAACACACTACTGAAAATGGTGTAGAATTCCTGCACAAATAGTCAATCACCGTAACCAGAAATTGCTCCTTACTATTGCTTTTTTGTTTCGTTGTGGTGGTATCATTTCTCGGCCGTGTTTTTTAT